ACCACGGTGAGTAGGTGAACGGTGCCCTGGGGAGTGACGGGGGACGACGACGAGCGCCCATCTTTCACCGCTGCCCAGTGACTCCTGTGGCGGCGGCCGCGGGGAATACGGGCCCGGTTCCTTCCTCACCCCTAACCCTGAATACGGGGAGACTGCTCAGGTCACAGCCCACACGCCCCGTGTCCAGGAGGACAGTGAGGAGGGTGTGGGGGGCAGTGAGGGGATATAAGGGTGTGGGGACAGTGAGGAGGTGTAGGGGTGGCCCGGTTCCTTCCTCACCCGTAACCCTGAATACGGGGAGACTGCTCAGGTCACAGCCCACACGCCCCGTGTCCAGGAGGACAGTGAGGCGGATGTGGGGGGCATTGAGGGGATATAGGGGTGAGGAGGGTGTGGAGGGCTGTGATGGGGTGTAGGGATGAGGAGGTGTGGGGGACGGTGAAGGGGTATGGGGGTGAGGAGGATGTAGGGGGCATTGAGGGCGTGTAGGGTGAGGAGGATTTGGGGGGCAGTGAGGGGTGTAGGGGTGAGGATGGTGTGGGGGCAGTGAGGGGGTGTAGGGAAGAAATGGTGTTGGGGCGAGGACAGAGTGGGGGTAGTGAGGCAGGCATAGGGGTGAGGAAGGATGATGTGGGGGACAGGTGAGTGTAGGGGTGTGGAGGATGTGGGGGTTTGAGGTGGGTGCATGGGGGAGTGGTGAGAGATGAAGAGATTGGAGGGACTGGAGAAGAGGTTGTCGTGGGGACAGAATGGTTGGGGTCACACGAGGCAGGTGTATGGAGGATGGTCGAGCTGAGGAGAAAGTAGGGGTTTGGAGAGGAGGGTGAAGAGGCAAAGGTGGGGGGTGACCAGTCAGTGTGGAGGAGATGGTGAGTGGTGAGGAGATGTGTTGGGACTGAGAGGAGAGGCAATGGTGAAGTGGGTATATGGCGACAGTGTCACGGCGATGGGGAGGACAGAGGTGGCCAGCAGTTCCTAGTATGCAGTGAGGTGTGGGAGAGGCATTCAGGTAGAGCAGCCAGCAGGAGTGAAGGGTGGAGATACCACCAGACTGGAGGTTCTTGGGAAACTGGGGCCTGGACCCCAAGGACGTTGTAGTGTGAGGTAGTGGCCTTGGAGGGTTTCCATCAGTGGAAGGACCTGGTATGATTGAGAACTGTGAAAATAGCCTAGAGATTTCTCAAGGCAGAGTGGACAGGTATGAAGGGGGCAGGGAGAGTTGGGGTGTCTGGGAGTGAGCATTTGCTATAGGTGGGGATTGGGTATATTTTTAAGATGGAAAGATTTCCTGCTGTGCCATATGTAGCTAAGAGCAAAAGTAGGGTGTGAGGAACATCCCCATTTTAGGGGTTTTCTTCTGCCTTCCCCCCCAAACATAGGGAATAATTAAGATGGGTTAATAAAAGCAAGGAGTGCACTTCAAGGGGAACAGGAGTGAGCTTTACACCTAGTGATCCAAAAATGATGGAGTGGGGGCCTCACCTGGACAGATAGCTCTGGACTTGTAGGTAGTGGGCTAGGCTTTGAGGAGATGAGATGATGATCTGAGCTCAACTGAGATCTGGAGACCAGATTTAGGGGAAGGAACCCCAAGGGCTTTATTTTCTTGGACCCCAAGGTGGCAAGGGGGAAGGCTGAGCAGAGGACTGGAAAGAATGGGCACCCCTGAGACTCCCCCCAGGAAGGAGGAGTCCTTGAATATGAAAAGGTTCAGGCTAGTGTCTCCAGGAAGATGACGGAGGCTTGTCTGAGGGGGACACTGAGGTGTGGGCCTCTGTGAATTGCTGGCCTGCAGGCTCAGCTGGGGGTAGGGGGAAGCGGAGGATCAGTGCAAAAGAGAGAAGCTCTGAGATGGAATGACGCAGTGGCTGCAGCACTGACCAGGTACTGTTCTGTCCGGCACAGGTCATTATGAGTTGGAACTGATGCAATGGCCTCTAACACCAGGCTTAGCAGACCCTCCTGGGCACTGCCTGTGGAGCAGAGGAAAGGTGGACCAGGCTTAGCCCCGTCTGGGCCCACAGTGCCCAGTGCTCCCAGAGCTCAGGTAAGGAGAGTGGACCCAACTAGACCAGTGACAGTTCCTTGACAGAAGTAAGTACCTAGTGAGGTGGATGAGACTAGGGTCCAAAGGTAGGTAATTAAAAATGAAAAATGTGGAGCTCTGGTGGCCTAGTGGCAAGAAGCTGCAGTGCAATCCCAGAGGAGTGTGGTTCGAATCCACCAGATGCTCTGCTGGAGAAGGAGGAACAATCTCCTCCTGTACCAGTCACATCTGATTTGATGGCACACCCACAAAAAATAATAAATTTTTTTTAAAAAATGAAAAATGTATAAATACAACTTGTTCAGTTTACATAAATGGACTGCAGTTGCTTGGGACATTAACATTCTACTGAGCATATGATTACAACGTAAGGTCTTACATACAGTGTCCTTTAAGACCTTTGCAAGATGGTAAAACACACTCAGATTTTAAACACTCCTCGTAGAGGACATTTGGAAAGTGTTAGTTGTGAGCACACTGAGGTGTAGGTTACATCTTAAGGTTACACCGCTGTTGGAGGCGGCCCTGGAGCCTGAGTATCTGAGGGCAGAAGTTAGGGAGGAGCTTTTGGAAGGCCCGGAGGCTGCCGTACCAGGATGTGATGCTGGAAGATTTGGTGTTCATGGCCTCATGTGGTAAGGTTCTCACACACACCAGGTTGCTGGCTGGACACTGTCCCTTCCTTTTCCTTTGGGCACTCTCCCTTTCCTACAGGTGGAGGTGGCCACTGGTGCTCTCCCCAGCTCCTGACAGACTGCCAGGCTTGGCTCCTGTCCAGTCCAAACCTCCTCCTTCCTGCTGACCCTAAGCCTTCTGGAAAGGTATCCTGCCTGTCCAGTGCAGCTGTAGCAGGGATAAGTGCGTGGCTTCCCAGATTTGTTCTTTTATCCATTAGGAGTCTAGGTCCAAATTCAGGAGAAGGCCTTCTTTCTCTTGGTTCTGAAGGTTGGTCCTTTCCTTCAGCTCTGTAGGCCCGGCATTCCTTGGAGATCTTCATTGTCTCTGCCTTCCTCGTGTCAGGGAGCTCCCCAGCCCATGTCCAAAGGACACACCCTACTCCTAGTCTTCTTTCTTGGTGACACTTGAGTCCGTACCTCTGGTCACTGCCTCTCTACTGTGAGACAAGATATTTCAGGCAGCATCCCGGCAACTTTTGATTAGATCAGACGACAACCTAATTACTGCCCATCCTAACTGCTGATGGCTGGTCATCATCAGGGTGACTACATCCTTCCATAACATCCTCTAACACTGCCTTATTAACGTAGCGGTTATGATTTATAGCCCGTAGGATGCTTCACACTGAGGATCACGACCTAGCCCGACTGATGCCCTTTGTGGGGACACACTGAAGTCCCTCTGAGGTGGGACAGGCTGTGGTGCCTCAGGGCCCCATGTTCTGTACCTTTGTCCTGCTCTCTCGAGCCTTTCTATCCAAGAATTGCAGTCATGGGTGTTGCTGGTGACACCACTGAGCTTCTTCAACACTTTCCTGGTGTCATTTTTTTTGGTAATGTTTTATTTTCTTTTGATCTCCCTTCGATGGGTTGCCAGAGGCATTTTTCCTAGGACTTGTTCTTTCTGATCCTCTGTGGCTCTTTAACTGGGACAGGGGCACCTTCTGGGAAGTCATGACTCCAGCCACATCAAGGGGTTTGAATCGGCCTGACAGGAGATAGGAGGTAGAGGGAGGGTGCTGCTTCCCTGCTGGGGTCACGGTCTCATGGTTCTGTGACACTGGTGGTCATAGCCTGCTGTTTTTCTCTCCTCTCTTACCCCTCCTCACTGTGTTCTCCTCCACACGTCCTCCCTGCTGCCCAGCTGCCTCTCCAGTACTGGCCTCTTTTCCTGTGTCGTGAGATGTGCTCATACACTCAAATCATCCTTGGCCACCAGCACTTCACGTCCCGCTGCCCTTTTGTGGGCTGAACATACAGTTCTGCATGATGTTCATCTGTTAGCCTCCAGGCCCCTCCTGAAGGTTATTTACAGTGGAGCAGGTTGCAAATCCTGCGCCTCTGCCATGGCCTGACCCATCCCCGTGTTGAGGAAATCCTGGCACTCTGCCGTGGGCTGACCTGTCCCCGTGTTGAGGAAATCCTGGCACTCTGCCATGGGCTGACCTGTCCCCGTGTTGAGGAAATCCTGGCACTCTGCCGTGGGCTGACCTGTCCCCGTGTTGAGGAAATCCTGCTTCTCTGCCGTGGGCTGACCCATCCCCGTGTTGAGGAAATCCTGTGTCTCTGCCCTGGCCTGACTCATCCCCGAGTTGACTCATCCCCGTGTTGAGGAAATCCTGCCTCTCTGCCATGGGCTGACCCATCCCCTGCTGTTGGCCCTCATGTGGTCTTCCCCGTCCAGTTACCCCTGGAGCCTGATACTGCACAGCACACTGCTTTCTGCCTGATTTCAGCTCCATCTGCCAGCAGCCCTGTGGACGTGGCCCTGGGTTTCCAGGCCCCCTTTGGTGATGGGTTACCCCCTCCCACCATGGTTATTGTGCACTTCACTGCCAGTTCTCTGCTTTCGTGCTGTTGGCACCAAGTGAAGGATGCAGCAGTGCCTTCTAAGCAGTGTGTTCCTGTAGCGGGAGTGTCACAGGCTAGTGCCTCCACGGCCTGTGTTGTCCACCCAGATGGCCCACCCTTGTGATGTATGTGGCCCCATCTTGAAAAACCTCTTGCACCTTGCTATTCATCAGGGAACACACCATGGACAGAAACCCCTTACCTGTGAGGTGTGTGGGAGACAGACCTGGTTCCACACAGACTTGCTGCAGCACAGCGTAGAGAACCCCAGGCAAAGGTATGAAGGCAGAGTTTGTGAAGATGTCCACCTGCCGGAGAAGCACTTGCTGTCTGAGAGGGAGTGGAGGAGCTCCCAGGACAGCCCCCGCCATCCTCAGCCAAAGGCCACGCACAAGAGGACCCCAGGGAGCGGTGGACAGATACACAAGTGCAACGAATGTGGGAAAACCTTCAGCCGAAAAGATACATTTGTTCAGCACCAGCGGATCCACACGGGAGAAAGGCCTTACGAGTGCAGTGAGTGTGGGAAAGCCTTCAGCCGCAGGGACAACCTCATTCAGCACCAGAGGACCCACACAGGAGAGATGCCTTACAAGTGCAGTGAGTGTGGGCGGCACTTCAGTCATCACTCCAACCTTACTGTGCATCAGAGAGTCCACACCGGTGCCAGGCCTTTTAAGTGTAACGAGTGTGGAAGAGTCTTCAGACACAAGTCCTCCCTGGTCCAGCATGAGAGCACCCACACTGGACAGAGCCCTTATGATTGTGGGGCCTGTGGGAAATCTTTCAGCCACAAGTACATCCTCATTAAACATCAGAAAACTCACACCGACCTCAGACCTTACGAGTGCACGGAGTGTGGGAAACTGTTCAGTCAGAGCTCTGACCTCCTGGCCCACCAGAGGGTTCACACTGGGGAAAGGCCTTTTGTGTGTGACGAATGTGGGAAGGACTTCATCAGGAGCTCCCACCTGGTTCGGCACAAGAGAGTTCACACTGGGGAAAGGCCATACGAGTGCAGGGAATGTGGGAAAACCTATACTTTAAGTTCCCACCTTGTGAGGCATCAGAAAGTTCACACAGTCAGAAGGCTTTAGGAGAGGGGAGATGGGCCCTTATTCTTGTTCAAGGCAAGACTCACAAAGAGAGCTCCTTGGTTAGTCATTGGGAGGGAACCCACAGCTGGATGTTTTAAACCTCATGTATTTTGAACGTGTACAGTGATAAGGTACATTATACATGCCAGGCACGTCAGAAGCTTTCAGGAACTGTCTTGAACTTTACGACCTATATGGTTTTCTTACCAAAGTCATGTTATTATTGATGCCTACCGCTGAAACCACCTATCCTGTCTGTTGGCACCTTCGTCACCCCACTGTCCTTGAGAAAGCAAATGCCTGTGTTTTCTCTCTGTTCCCTTAGATCTTGAGAAGCCTGAGTAAAATAAGGTCCTTCACCTTTTCTTTCTGGCTGGCCTGGTGCAGGTGTGGACATGAGCCACCTTTGGCCAGGAGGACCTGAGGTGTGTGCTGCTAGTTGCTTTTTGAGGTTTGCTTTCTTCATGAACATCGTTGGTCTCATATGAGTCTTGTGATAACTTTGCCCAGCTTCTGGGTCACCCAGCGCAGAGACAAGCTGTTTTGGGGTATGATACAATAAAGTCTGCCTTGTTCATGCCACTTGTAACCTTGAGATGTCTTTTCTCTTGGGGGGTGGTTGGAGAGCAAAGTACTCCTGGGGTTTTCAGATGTATGCCTCAGAGGAGATGGAAAACTTGCAGAGAAGCATTTCAAGTCCAGTTTTGATGTGGATTTCGGTTGCTGTCAGAAGCTTCTTAGGGAAGAGTTGAGGGCATTGTGGGGCTGATCATGTGTGTATGTCAGCAGCATCTGAGGACCTTGATAGCACCGTGCAGAGGGGCCAGTTTTTGTGATAACCGCCAGTGTTTTGCAGCATCATAGTTGGGATCTTTTGTTCCCAGAGTATATTCTATGTATGCTGGTATTCTTAAGGCAAAGCTGTTCCTTGGGATCAAAACCCCTAAAGACCACAATCCAATACTCAGGTCACTGGCTGTGAGGCCTATAGTGTCCAGAAAGAAAGACCAAATTGTTGCAGGAACACTTGGGGTGAAAAATGAAAGCTGAGAGCAACTACAGTAAACTCAGGAGAACATGCCGTTGTACATTCATGAGCATTTTAATAACTATGGCAGGAAGGAGGGTGCACAGAAGATGCTCAGGGTCTCCAGAGCTGTGTCACTATTTAAAACAAAAGTCACTTGCAGAACAAAAAAATACACAGGTTTTTACCTGGTGTTTTTGCTGCAAAGGCCAAAACTCTAAGACAGTACTCCTGCAGTAGTCCAGGGGTTTGGCTTTGATGACCCTGTCAGTTTCCAGTGCCTCAGGCAGAAACATTCTTTCTGCTAAGTGTTTCTGTCCTTGAAGATGAACTACTCTTCTCAGGCAGCATCTGTGAGATGGAGTCACTGTGTGGTCATTCTTCTGGGCATCCCAGGGCAGCTGTGAGATGGGGGTCACCGTGTATTTGGCCACCTTTCTACATTTCTATGTTTCTACTAGAAGTGGAAGATTAGATTTTTAGTGAAGGACTTTTTTTTTTAAATACCTCTACTGAGGTATAATCAACCTGGAGTAACTTGCACATCTTTAAATATGTCCAATTTAGTAAATAAATTTTTACATGTCTATCTGTGTTTCATTGATTATGCAAAGGCGTTTGACTGTGTGGATCATAACAAACTGTGGCTGACTCTGAGAAGAATGGGAATCCCAGAACATTTAATTGTGCTAATGTGAAACCTATACTTGGACCAAGAGGCAGTAGTCAGAACAGAGCAGGCCAACACGGCATGGTTCAAAATTGGGAAGGGTGTACACCAGGGATGTGTCCTGTCTCCATACCTTTTCAACCTGTATGCAGAGCAGATTATCCGAGAGGCTGGGCTCTATGAGAAGCGTGGTGTTAGGATTGGTGGACGATCTATCAACAATCTGCATTATGCAGATGACACAACCCTGCTCGCTGAAACTGAGGAGGACATCATGCACTTACTGCAGAGGGTCAAGGACTGCAGCCTTCAATATGGACTGAGGCTCAATGTCAAGAAGACAAAAAATCTCACCACTGGACCAATCGGTAGCACCAGGATGGATGGCGAAGAGATTGAGATTGTTCACAGCTTCAGTTTGCTCGGCTCCACGGTCAACACTCTTGGAACCAGTAGCCAGGAAATAAAAAAACATATTGCGATGGGAAATTCTGCAGTTAGGGCCCTCTCTAAAGTACTCAAGAGCAACAGTGTCTCTCTGGAGACTAAGGTGCACCTGATACAGGCCATGGTTTTTGTAATCACTTGTTATGCCATCAGAGAGTTGGACAATGACTAGGGAGGATAGGAGAATTGACACCTTTGAGCTGTGGTGCTGGAGAAGAGTACTGAATGTACCACGGACTGCCAAGAAAACAGATTTATCGTAGAGAGGATTAAACCAGGCTGCTCCTTGGAGGCAAGGATTCTGGGGCTTCGTCTGACATACTTTGGACATGTTGTAAGGAGAGACAGGTCTTTGGAGAGGGACATCATGCTGGGCAGAGTGGAAGGACAGCACAGGAGGGGAAGACCCTCTATGAGGTGGATTGATTCAGTGACTGGGGTAATTGGGATGGGTGTGTTGGGGGCAATGAGATTGGCACAGGATAGAGCAGGGTTTAGGGCTGTTGTACATAGGGTCGCTATGAGTTGCAAACGACCCAACGGCACATAACAACTACAACATCTATGACACTACTTCCTTTGCCATGACGGTGTATGCATTCAAATTTTCTTACTTCCTTTAATCGTTCTCTCCCTGCCATTCCAACTTAAGCATCTGTTGCTTTGTGTTGACTATAGATAAATTTGCATTTCCTATAATTTTTATATAAGTGGAGCATGAAAATGTTTTTTGGGTTTTTTTGTCCACTGTCATTCAGCATAATTATCTTGAGATCTGTCTTTGTGTTGTATGGACAGCTCATTCTCTTTTGCTTAGTACAGACATACTTAGGAGAAATCCCAGGTTTGGTTCTGGACCATGACAGTAAAGCAAATATTAGGATAGAGTGAAGACTTTTAATCAACTTCTGAAAGTTCTGTTAGCACGGTTCTGTAGTCTAATAAGTGGTACAGTAGCATTGTGACAAAGCTTGAGACTTAGCATCCTCAGACTATGACACGGACAAGAGAGCATATGCTATTGGGAAACAGTGACAACACTGGATGAAAAATGACACTGGTTTGCCATAAATCTTCAGTTTGATTTTTTTAAAAAAAACACTAATCCTGAGGGTGCACTTAATTGAGGTGCAGAGTATATTTGTACGAATTACTGTATAGGAGCCAGAAATGTAATGGTTCTGTTAACAGAAAGGTGCTTGGTTCTGACCTACCAGGGTGCCCTGTGGGAGAAAGACGTGGTGGTTTACTTCCAGAAACAATGCCAAGCTGAGGAAACTGTAGGAGGCAGTTCTTTTCTTCTCTGTCATATAGGGTCTCTGGGAGTTGGAAATTGATGTGACGGCCCCTCAGAACAGCAACTGAGAGCACTGTATTGTGTAGACCACGCATTCAGTGTGGAGCAAACGTGCATTCTATAGGCCTCTGGACATTGAGATGGGGCAGGAAAAGCCATAGACAGGGCATCCATCACTCAGGATGACCTCCTGCCCATACCAGGGTTGAGGACCCAATAAAGTGGACCTGTCTCCATTGTCCAGTTGAACTCTTGAGGATAGTGTGTAGCACCTCAGCAGCTCCACAGTGTTCTTTGGTGGCTGGCAGGGTGATAGCTAGCCCTGACACCGTTATACTTCCACTGCTATTGCTTCACAGTCCATGGACCCCACTGCCGTCATCTCCTGTCTCATGCCACCCTGGAACCTCCTGCCAGATCGATCCCCATTACACATTCCTTCAAGCTCCTCCTGCCTGCCCCATGGGCAACTCTTCTTCCCTCAGCCTTGATCCAGGACCTTCACCAAGCTTAGCTCCCTGCCAGTGTCCCAAGCCCAGTGCTTCCCAAGACCTGCCCTGAGGCCAGGACCTCATTAAATGGTCCATGCTGGACCCACTGCAGCTGCCCTCTTCTGGTGTAAGGCATAATGTGATGGACTGCTAATTGAAATACTGGCATTTACATCCTCTATCCACTGGTACAGAGGTAACTCTGCTGTGATGCTAAACACTGTGACACTGATGTGTCATATGTGATCTTGGTCACCCATGGTGGGCAGTGTTTTGTGGAGCTTCCTGATTAAAACAAGTTTGGAAGCAGGAGTGGCATCCACTTCCAAAATAGCTTGCCTCTAGAAACTCTATGAACTTGGAGAAATGATGAAAGTTATGCACGTGTTCAGGTCTTTCGTTCATAAGGTTGCTCTGAGTAGTCCACAACTCAATAGCACTTAACAACAATCACAACCACTGTGGGAGAAGGGTAGACAGTCTTCCCTGAGATTTTTTGAAACTTGATGGAGGGTCTGTGAGTTGTAACCACTAAGGGTCGTTGAGCTGCCGTGTTGAAATGCTCTCTAGTCTTGCACTGAAAGCGCGTGCCAGCCTCAGGCGACACCTTTCCATCTCCACATGGTGGACCAGTGGATTATCAGTAAGAAGAAATTCAGTTTTTGCCTTTGAGGGTTTTGGCATGAGACTGAAAATCAGCCAGTGATACGCTGTGACAGTTTGTATGGAGCATTATTTCCAATCATGTTGCTGCTGGGTTCTGCCAAGGTGGTGATGAGACCCAGATTGACTCTGGACACCAGGACGTAAGTATGCCCAAACCTACACCATCGTGATCTCTGCTGTGCTCAATGTCATCGTTGGAACCACTGTGTCCATCTTACGGAGAATCTTCATCTTTTTCATGACGCTCTACCAAACATGTTCTTCTTCATGGACTACTGAACACTCCCATGGACTGGGATCAGTCTCAGAACTGCTCAAAATGTTCCTTACAAGCAAGGATCGACTCACTCTAATGAGAGAACTTTACCTAATATATAAAAGGGCTGGGATTAGGAGGCCACAATCTAATCCAGGCCATGGTCTTTGCAATTACTTACTATGCTTCAGAGAGCTGGCAATGTCTAAGGATGACAGAAGAATTGATGCCTTTGAGTTGTGGTGCTGGAGGAGTCTTGAACATACCAGGGACTGCCAAGAAAACAACTAAGTCTGTCTTGGAGAGGGTGAAACCAAGTTTCTCCTTGGAGGCTAGGATGTGAAAGCTCGTTCTTACATACTTTGGGCACATGACCAGGAGAGACCAATCCTTGGAGAAGGACATCATGCTTAGAAGGGTGGAGGTACTCTGCAGAAGAGGAAGACTCCGGATAAGATGGAGCGATATAGTAACTGGGACAGTGGGAGTTAGTATGTCGGAATAAGAGAGACTGGCTCAAGACAGGGCAGGGTTTAGAGCTGCTGTACATAGGATCGCAGGCAAGTTGACAGCACCTAACAAGGTATTACATTGGTTGTATTTTTCTGTAAGCCTTTTGTTTAGAGTCAAGATGACCTCATGGAGGGCTTCTGTATTTAAGTCAGTTATTCTATTTTGGAGAAACACTCTTATAAGAGGTACAGCACTCTTCTGTCAATTTGCTGTAGTGAGGTTGCTGTGATGCTGAGCCTTGTGCCATTGGGGTGTCCCATGGTGGGCAGTGTTTGGTGGAACTCTCAGTTTAAGACAGGTTTGGAAGCAGGAGTGGCATCTCCTTCCTAAACAACATGCCTCTGGAAACTCTTACGAACTCTGAGAAACAACAATGGTTCTAGAAAGGCTTCAGGTCTATTGTTCATAGGGTCACTATGAGTCGTGCTCAACTCCGCGGCAATCAACATCAAAAGGGAGTTCTGGTAGCCTAGTAGGTAGGAAGCTGCGCTGCCAAACCAAAGGCAGTCAGTTTGAATCCACTGGCTGCTTCACAGGAGGAAGATGGACAGTCTCCACCTGCCTTTGGAAACTCACTGGAGCATCAACTATGAGCTGGTTCTAACTCGATGGGAATGATTAGCAATATACGTATTAGTACACCTCCCTTGTATTTTCACCTCTTTTGTTTAAATATATTTTGAACTGAGGGGTGCTGGCAAAAACTTCACCTCAGATGTATGTTAACCAGGAGGAACCAGTCCCTGGAAAATGCATCACTAAGATGACCCAAATCCACAACCACACCCACTGCTCTCAAGTGAATTCTGACTCATCAGCACTCCACCAGGTGTAAAAGGAAAAGGGAGAGAAGATGGTCATTAGGAATAGATTCTGACCCATCAGCAAACCACCAGGCATACAAGGAAAAGGGAGAAAAGATGGCGGCCGTTGAGAGCAGATTCTGACCTATCAGCACTCTACCAGGTGTACAAGAAAGAGAGAAGATGATCATCGGGAATGGATTCTGACCCGTCAGCACTCCACCAGGCGTACAAGGAAAAGGGAGAGAAGATGGTCATCAGAAATGGATTCTGACCCGTCAGCACTCCACCAGGCGTACAAGGAAAAGGGAGAGAAGATGGTCATTGGAAATGGATTCTGACCCGTCAGCACTCCACCAGGCGTACAAGGAAAAGGGAGAGAAGATGATGGTCATTTGGAGTGGATTCTGACCCATCAGCAAATCACCAGGTGTACAAGGAAAAAATGGCCATCTGTAGTTGATTCTGACACAATACGCCACCAGATGTACCAGGAAGTGGCGAAGGATGGCCATTTACTAGTCTTTAAAACTTACCAATTTAAAAAAAAAATCCCATTTGATGAGTATAGAAAAAATTTTTATTCATGATGCATGGGCCAGTTCACCACAGTCGTATGAAAGAATTCCTACCCCATGTCCTGGAGGCCACAGCCCTCAAAGCAGCTGTACTTAATGTACCTTCTCTTCAGTGTGAATGCTCAGGTGGCGATGAAAGTGTTTTTCCCAGCCAAAAGATCTGCCGCAGTGGTTACACTCAAAAGGTGCTTCCTTCCGGTGGGTCACCTGATGTCCGTTGAGGGACGCCCTCTTGTCGAAGACCTTGCCACACTTCCTACAGACGAAGACCTTCTCCTTAGCATGGGTCCTCCGATGCCGGCTGAGCTTGGAGCTGAAGGTGAAGGCCTTGCCGCACTCCTGGCACTGGTAGGGCTTCTCTCCACTGTGCACCTTCTGGTGCTGACTCAGTCTGCTCTTGAGGCTGAAACTCTTCCCACAGTCACTGCACTTAAAGGGCTTTACTCCACCGTGGGTCCACATGTGCTGCATCAAGGAAAACTTGAAACAGAAGGTTTTCTTACATTCTTTACATTCAAAGGGTGTCTGCCCGCTGTGGGTCCTCTGGTGACCGACGAAAGCACAGAGCTGTGCGAAGACCTTTCCGCACTGGCTGCACTCGTACGGCTTCTTTTCGGCGTGGATCACCTTGTGCCGGTTTAAGGAGGAGCTGTCACAGAAGGCCTTGCCGCACACGTTGCACAGAAAGGGCTTTTCTCCGGTGTGGGTCCGCTGATGCTGCACGAAATTGGAGTGCTGGTTGAATGTCTTCCCGCACTTGGGGCATGCGTAGGGCTTCTCCCCGGTGTGGATCCGCCAGTGCTGCGTGAGGTAGGAGTTGCGGTTGTAGGCCTTGCCACACTGGGCACACTTGTACGGCTTCTCGCCCGTGTGGATCATGAGGTGCCGCACGAGGTCGGCTCGCATGAGGAAGCGCTTTGTGCACTCACTGCACTCGTGGGGCCTCACGCCTGTGTGCGTCAGCTGGTGTTTGACAAGGACGCACTTTCTGCGGAAGGTTCTCCCGCACTGCTGGCACTTGAAGGAACCGCACCCCACAGGGACAGACGTGTCCTGAGCAGGTCCATCTTCCAGTGGCCCATTCTGTCTTCTGGTTCCAGCTAACCTGGAGGATGTGGAGGTTCCCCGGGCCGGTCGTTCCTGGAGTGGGGCTCCCTCAGTCACAGCCAGCACAGAGGTGGACTGTGCTTTGTCATCTGGAAAGAAACAACAGAAAAGGAAAGGGACCCATTAGTGATGCTGCTGCCAATGGAACTGTGTCTTCCCAAGAACGTGTCAATGTGGTGAGGCCACAATTCTCAGCGTTATGTAATCCCCTTCCATCATGTATGAATGAATGGAACTAACCTAGGTGCAGTAAATCCTAGCCTCTATGACGTCTTTCAGAAAGCACTGGTGGCCTCGTGTGCTGCCAACATGAAGGCATGCATTTCAACTCCACCAGCTGCTCTGCAGGCAAAGATGGCCAATCTCCTCCCGTACCATGGACTGCCTCTGAAAACCTGCTGGAGGGTCAGCAGTGGGTCGGTTCCAACTCGATGTCACACAACCACAGACTGCCAGAAGAACATAGGTGTTTTGGAAAAATTACACCAGAATGCTCCTTAGAAGCAAAGACCACAAGACTTCACCTCACACCTCTGGATTATGTTATCAGAAGGGGCCAGTCCCTGGAAAAGGCTATCATGCTTGGAAAAGGAGAGGGTCAGCCAAACAGTAGATCTTCATCACTGCAGACGGATACAGTGTCCAGCGATGGATTCCAACACAGCAATGCCTGTGAGGATGGTACAGGACTGGATAGGGTTTGTTCTGATGTCCAGTCACTAGGAGTGACACGGTATCATGATGGTAATGAGACAGGAGAAGTTAATGAATCAAGATACAAGCAATAGGGATGCATCCCAACTCAATCTCTTTAGAGATCTAAAAGACTGAGAGAAAAGAATATCAGGGAGGCAACCTCTCCTAAGAAAGAAGAGCTGGGCGCAGAGTGTCCTCAGGGCTTGGGCCCGGGACTCAGGGAGGACAAATGGAGATTCCGAGTGGGCAGGATGAGCAAAGCTCACCCGCCTGAGGGGAAAACATTTATGGACAAGAAGTTATCGTGGAAAGTAAATGGTTACAGACACATCCAAGGAATATTACAAGGATGTGATCCCATTATGAATCTTGTAATAGATGAATGTGCAGAGATGGCAACTAGTGTGGTCAGTAAAACAATGGGATGGTGGTAATGTGAGGACATAGGATCGTGTTAGAAGCCTTGGAATGTGTAGGAATAATGACCGCCTAGCAGAGAAATCCGTTGCCTCCACAATTCCCTTCTCCCAAGGACCAGTTTTACTAAGATACAAAAATCAAGCTTTATATACAGTCTTCAAGTTAAGTTTTCTTTCAATAAACTTTTATAGTATGTAGTACTAAAAAACAAACCAAACCAAACACAACACTTGGAGACCTCCATGGGATGCTGGCCCACAGGTGTGGAAAGGAGACAAGGGCCCTCCTCGAGGACCGAGAGGGAGCCTTCCCTTAGAGCTGATGCCCTGCCCTTGGATTTATAGCCTTCTGAACCACGGCTTTACTTTCTGTTCATTAGAGCCATTCACCTGTGGTACTTCTGTTATAACAGCTCTGGATTAACTAGGAAAGGCATCCACGGGGAAGAACAAAATTAACAATGAAGTCAGAAAAATGGGGGCTCGAGGTTAAAGGGCTGCTGGCATGTATCACCCACGTCTGCAAAGTCCTTTCTTTTCTGTTTTTGCGTCTTAGCACCTTTAAAGGGGATCCTGGAGAAGGCTGGTGTGGCGTGGACAGACAGGGTCAGTAGTGTGTGTCTGAGCGGGCATCTTAAATTGTGGCCCACACCCAGGCTGTGCCACCTATGTGGACTCCTCCTGCCACCTATGTGGACTCCTCCAGACGGGAAGAGCGAGCTGTCACGGAGGACAGCCATCGGCCTAACAGCAGAAGAGGGTGTGAGACAGAGGAAGTCAGAGGGGAAGCCCTGTAGCCCGAAAAAGACCCTCTCACCAGCCCCACATTTTCTCGTATTTTACCTCCTAAAGCAGCTACTTTATCTTTACTCCACTTTTTTATACAAGTAACATGCAATTTCTGTATGTTTGCTAGCTATATTCTAAAAAAACCCCATAAAACTGAAAAGCATAAGCAAAATCAACTTAGCATAATGTGCTTAATATCTCAAGGTGGGAGAAGTGGCTGATAAAGAAACACAAAAGTTTTATGAGTTATTTCCGTACAAATATGGGTGCTGAGCCCCAGGGTGGGACAGATGGTTAAGTATTTGGTTATCAACCAAAAGGCTGGTGATTTGAAACTACAGAGCCGCTTCAGAAGGCCTGGTATCCCCTTCTGAAAACCAGTCAGTGACACCCGAATGGAGCTTTTACAAAGGCTGGAGAAGTCCCTGCATGGTTGTCCTGAGACTGTCCTAAAACCACCCCACAATGCTTAGCATCACATGATAGGTTAGCTTGACTACAGAAGGCTGGCCTGCGTCTTATGCTTTAGCTGTAGGAACCGTGGTGGTGGAATGAGTGACCCAGCAGGCTGCTGAGAGGCTGACCAAGGCTGTCAGGAGTCAGAACAGAGTCAGAGCAGTGGGTGGTCTGAGGAGCTATTTATAGTGGGTTAAACTGGTAACAGCAACCCAGAAAATGAGAAGACTTTAGAGGCAGTGAGTTTATATCAGCGGAGGAGGGAAGAGGGGGTGAGAATGGCTGCACAAATCAGACAACACACTGCAGGGTGCATCTCATGCACTTCCCCCAAATCCTGCATGCTCTCCGATCCGGGCTTCTCTGCATGCGGTGAGAAAATAAAGCAGTCAGTGCCACTGAGCTGTACACGGAGCAACTGGGCACTGGTCAGCGTCTGCCGTGTCTCCTCAAGAGATCGCCAGGATGGGGAAGGGTTCTGACCTGTCACTTGCAGGGTCACTATGACGGCACCAAACATTATTAACAGCGGTAAAATAAAGGCATATCAAAAAGTAGGTAAGGAAAGAACAACCGTGCACAGTTCTGGCCTGACAGAGGAGGTCACCTTGTACTGGAAGTGACCCCATGGTATCAGAGAGGACAGGTTCCTCAGGGGCACATTGCTGGAGAGCAGAGTCCAGCAGGCACCCACCTGAATGCACCGTGGGGCTCGGTGGGCACACACCTGAGCCAGTAGGGCCTGGAAGGCAAACCCTGAATGCATAGCACAGCCTGGCGGGTGAGCACCCAACTGAATGCATGGCACAGCCCAACAGGCACTCACCTGAGTGCGTGGCAGAGCCCAGCGGGTAGGCACCCACCTGAATGTGCAGCAGAAGCAGGGGGCCCCATCAAAAGGCACGAAGGCAGCTCAGGCCCGAGACAGGACACAACAAGTGTCTCAGCAAGCAGCAGGGGTCCCCTCACACATGAGGCTGACTGATGTCCTCGTGGCCGTGTGCGGAGCTCACCTGGACACGTCCTTTTGGCGAAGCCCCTCTCTGCTGTCCACAGCTCCTGCCCACGCTCCAGCTGACAGATCAGCTCTGGTTTGGAAGCTGTCCCTGTGCATGGAACATAAACATGACATGTGGATGTGGCAAAGCTGCAGTGACTCCTCTTCTTCCTGCTTGGTTCAGAGGGCTAGGGCTCTGGAATAAGGCTGCTACCCTCCGAGGAAGAAAATCTACAAAAACAACAAAAAACCAAACCCAACTGTTGTGTGACCTGGACATCAAGGAGACAGCCACCACCTGAGATGAGAGGCTGCAGGAGGCGCTGCAGCCTCCACAGTCCAGGGTTTGCCCTGCGAGGAACACCAGAGTGCTGTGGTCACCACCTGGGCCCGGCACTCACAGGTATGCCTGTCTCACTGCACTGCAGATTTTACAGATGGAGGCCGTGGGGCAGCCGTGCACGAAGCAGCTCTACCTGCCCCTCTGTCCCATCATAAAGAGTGTCCACGTTGCACTGCATCTCTGTGTCCCAAGCTGGTAATTCTCACAGTATTCCAAACTTTTTCCATAAGGCTACACTGCACATTTATGAATAGACTACAGAATGGTGCTAACGTCACCTTTATGTGCACTGGAAAACAAAAAGGAAATAATGTGACCTGCTTAATTGTGATAATCGCTTTCCTGCAGTGGTCTGGAACCAAATTCACAGTATCTGAGGTCTGTACTGAAAAAGGGTATCTTAACTGCTTTAGTAAATGTACAAACAAGTACTTGCCTTAAGTTATCCCCAAAATAAAACAAAAAAGTTAATACTTTCAAGTCCCAGCCAAGTCACGGGGCCTGTTAAGGGTGACAAGGCACACGGGGCAGGAGTAGGGTGGACAGGAACATGGAAGAGACTGGAGTCCACCCTCCCTCTCCCACAGAGCAGAGGAGAGGCCTCACCCAGAGAGGCCAGGACTGCCCACACCTCCAGCATCACTTCCCGGTACAGCATCCTCTGCGCTGGGACCAGCTGCTCCCACTCCTTCGGGGTGAAGGTCACAGACACATCCTCAAAAGTCACAGAGCCCTGGCGAGCAAGACAGAGGACACATGAATGGCCCTGGGCCGGCGTGGTCACTAGAGATGCTGCGAAGATCCCACGGCCCACGAACCCCGCTGGTCCTGAGGTATGGGGAGCAGTCCCAGAGGGGAGCCAGAGGCCGCCTTTCTGCAGAAACCCCATGCTCAGTGACACGACACGACGACAATCTGGGAGCTCGGGTCTTGAGGGGCGAAATAGTGAGCACGCTGAGATCAAGAACGAAGAAGGAATGGCGCCCCCAAAACCCCCACTGGCCCTCACAGCCGAGGGCTGTGACAGCTGACCCCAACCCTGCCGGGTCCCCTCCCCAGCCCGAGACCCCGCAGCCCTCCGACGACAGCAGTCCCCTCGGTGCTCTGTACGTACATGGCCACCATTCCTCCCTCTGCAGCCCCCCAGCTGCCCTGACGTGAGTGTCCCCTCCGTAAGGCATCAGCAGCCTGCAGCCCGAGGGGGGTGTGTCCTCGCTGGGGGCCCGGGCGGTGCAGACCAAGCGCAGGGCGAAGGCAGCGCCCTCCCAGGATTCGTCTCCGCAGATGGGGAGCCCGGTCCGGGCCGATGGCTTCTCCACTACGGGGTGCCGGGGTCTAACGCCCGCTCAAGGCGCCCCCGCGGCTCGCACCAGGCCCCTGACCGGCGAGGCCGGCCTCGCAGAGCTCACCCAGCGGGCAGGTGCAGCGGCTGGAGCCCTGGGCACTAACCCCTCGGAACCCCGCACTCCCGGCGGGAAGCAGGCCCGTGACCCCCCCTGCCGGCAAGTGGGAGTGGACTCCCGGGAACTCCACGCAAGGCCACGACCCGCTTCCCTCCGGGGACACTCGTGGATTCGAACGGCCATCCCTGCGGCCGTGCGGTCAGCAGAGCCGCTCAGAGAATAAACTGCCCAGCCCGAAGGAGCAGCGCGGCCGCCCCAGGACCCTCTCACCCCGGGCCTCCGCTCACCTTGGCCGAATCCCCGGCCTCCATGGTTCCTGTGAGCGGGGGCCGCGAGCGGCGGGGGGTCGCCGACCCAGGACACAGCGCGGACACTACTCCCGCCTGCCCTCAGCGGATGTGCTCGGATACGACGGGTCCGGAAGTCCCGCCCCGGGAGCCCCGCTGCCCGTAAGCGCTCATTGGCTCCTCGCCTGTCTCTGATGGGAACACACCGCACAGCCCTCTGGGTAATAATGGCGCAGCTTCCGGGTCGTTTGCGTTCCTCGGAGGGCGGTCTTTCCGGTCTCCCCGAAAGCTCTCCGGGGGCTCCAGGAGGGACACCTGCGCGCCGCGGGGGCGTCAAGGAACGAGCCATCGACCACGACTCTCAGCTGCTTCTTGAAGGGGATGCGCTAGGTTATGAGGTAGAATAGATTCTGACTCATACGATCCTATAAGGCAAAATAGAGTTGTCTCAAGGAATCTTTAAAAAGTTCTTTTAAGAGACTTCAGAGGAAAACTGACACCAAAATTGACCTGGGCGCAGTGATCGCCAGTGGAGCCCGCCTGATAACCTGAGACACAGGGTGGGACTCTGTTGGGGCAGAGCATTGAAACGGAAGGTGCTGTGTGGTGCAGTGCTTAAGCACTTAGCCACAACCAAATGCTCAATTAATCTCGTCTACTTGTCAAATATCAGTTGAGCATAGGTAGATGAGCTGATTTCTGGGTTCTCAATTCTCCTCCATTGATCAGTGTGTCTGTCACTGTACCAGGCACACACTGTCTCCTCGACCACCACGGCGGTGTACTAGGATTTGAGATCAGAGTGAGAGATGCCCGTTTCCTTGTTTCTCTTTTTCAGGAGAGCTTTGCTTATTCGGAGGTCTCTTTCTATTCCAAATAAAATTGGAAATTGCCTTTACCATCTCGTTGAAGAATAACATTGGTACCAGCATTGGGATTTCATTGAATTTGTAGATTACCTTTGGTAGAATGAATCATTTTCTCAATACCGAATCCTATCCATGACCATGGTATAGCCTTACATTTCTCCAGGTCTCTTTTTGTTCCTTGTAGTGATGTTTTGTAATTTTCTCTGAATAGATGTGCTTCTGGTTAGATTTACTCCCAAGTATTTATTCTTGTGATTAGCTTTTGTGAAGGGTATTGTTTTTCTTAGCTCCATTTCTGAATTCTCTTTGTCACTGTAGAGAATTGCAAGTGGGTTTTGTATGTTGATCTTGTATCCTGCTACTTTACTCACTTGGTTGACTATGTCCAGTAGTTTTCTCACTGAGTCTTTAGGGTTTTCTAAGTATACTATTCGTATCTGCATATAGAGCTAATATCCTCTTTGCCGATTTGAATACCTCTTCTTTCTTTCTTTCTCTCTCCTCTTAATGCTCTAAGACTTCCAATACGGTATTGAATAGGAGAGGAGATAATGGGCATGCTTGCCTAGTTCCTGTTCTTAAAGGGAATGCCTTTAATCTCTGTCCATTGAGAATGATGTCAGCTCTTGGTTTTGTGTATATACTTTCACTATGTTGAGGAAATTCCCTTCTATTCCCATTTTGCTGAGTGTTTTGAGCAGGAAACTGCTAGATTTTTGTCAAAGGCTTTTCCTGCATCTATTGATAGGATCATGTGGCTTTTGTCCTTTGCTTTTTTTTTTTTTTTTTAAACTTTTATTTTGTGTGTGTACCATCAAATCGGATCTGACTGGTACAGGAGGAGATTGCCCCTCCTTCTCCGGCAGAGCATCTAGTGGATTCAAACCACATACCTCAGGGAGTCCTTTACTTTGTTAATGTGATGAATTACCTTGATTTTTTTTTTTATGTTGAACCATCCTTGCATACCTTTTATGAATCCCACTTGGTCATGGTGAATTTTTTTTTTGACTGTTGGATTTTATTGGCCAGGGTTTTATTGAGGATTTTTGCATCTAAATTCATAAGAGATATAGGCCTGTAGTTTTCTATTTTAGTGGTGTCTTTTCTTGACTTTGGTATCAAGGATGTTTGCCTCATAGAATGAGTCTGGGAGAATTCTATCTTTTTCCATTTTCTGAAATACTTAATGGAGAATTGGTGACCGTTCTCTGAATGATAAAATTCACTAGTAAGACCATCTGGTCCAGGGCTTTTTTTAAAATTGTTGTTGGCAGTTATTTTATGATCTGTTCAATTTCTTTTTTTGTGCTGAGTCTGTTCAGGTGTTCTCCTTCAGTCTGTGTCAGTTTGGGTAGATTGTGAGTTTCTAAGTAATTATCCATTTCTTCTAGGTTTTCATATTTGTGTATAGTTTTTCATAATATCCCATTGTTACCCTTTAATTTCAGTTGGCTCTGTTGTGACATTGCCCCTTTCATCTCTTATTTGGATTCTTTGTGTCTTTTCTTTTGTTAGTTTTGCTAGAGGTTTGTTGAATTTATTGCCCTTTTTGAAGAACCATATTTTGAAATCAGTGAAGTGGGAAAACAACAACCTAAAAATGATGCCGGCAAAATTGGAAAACCATCTGTAGAAAACTCAAGCAAGATCTAAACCTCACATCATATAAAAAAAACAAGGTGGATAAAGGACCTAGGAGTAAAACCAGACTATAAATTTCACTAAAGAAAAGCTTGTGTAATTGTTAACAACCTCAATATCTTCTCTGTCATGAAGCTGCCAGTTGGCCCAGTGGTGACAATCTTTGTTTTCTTGATGTTGAGCTTCAGTACATACTGAAGACCACAGTACTTGACATTCTGCAGCAACGCCTCAGATCTTCCTCATTTTCAGCAAGCAAGGTTATGTCATCTACATAATACAGGTTGTTGAAGAGTCTTTGTTCAATCCTGTTGAAATTCCTCCCCATAAAGTCCAGCCTCCTGAATGATCAGTTCTGTATATAGATTGAAAAGGTATGGAGACAGGATGCATCCTTGACACATACCTTTCCTGGTCCCAAACCATGCAGTTTCCCCCTGCTCTGTTCTAACTACTACTTCCTGGTCCAAGTACAGGTTTTGCATGAGCACAATTAAGTGTTCTGAGTATGAACAACATGAGGACAGCCACACCTGACCTCTACAAACTCTGTAAGAGGCAACTTTCAAAAACGTCAAAAGAAAAAAATAAGTTCACGTGAGGTTGATGTGTGCACACCACTATGATGCCCACACCTACTTCTATTAGTTCTAATGCTGACCATCCAAGCAAGGGCTCTCACTGCTGTATGGTGGGGTTCCACAGATTTCACAGAAGACTCATGCAATTATGGGGTTCATTAGGGAGTTACTATTCAGGCAACAGGATGCAATTCTTCTGTCAGGACAGCTTTTCAAGTATGCTTACAGGCCCTTTAACCTTCAGTTTCATAGCTTAGGCCTAAGCTACAAAGTTCTCTTTGTTATTGTTACGTGCCATAGCATTGGAACTGACTCATAGCTGACCCTGTAGTGGGTTTTCATAAGTTAATTCCTCAGGAGGAGTTTGCTCATTTCTCTCCCACAGGGCAGCTTGGGGTTTGAACAACTTGCCTTTAAGTTAGCAGTACACTTCTTTTCCAGTCTTGTTGTCAACTGAGGGGAAAAAAAAGATGGGGACACAGGAATGGAGGAGAGGTCAGAAAGTGTGAAGGCGGGGGGCAAACAGCTGGAAGAACTGAATCCCCTATGCTGTGCCTTTCTGTGGTTTTATTGAGAATCACCAGTATACCACAGACAGGTACTCTGTGTAACTGTACTGACTTCTCAGAGGCACACAAATTTGGGGGCTGAAACAAACAAACAAAAAGTTCATCCTTTTGTATCATCATATCCCAATTCTGCTTACAAACTATATAGCGAATGAAATTCTCAAGATTAAAGGAAGTTCAACAAATACAACTCAGTTCTTTGCTATGAGTGGAAACGGACTCATATTTGACCCTCTAGCAACTTTTCAGAGTGTGGAAATGAGTGGAAGGAGACTCTTCATCTTTCCCCAGTGATCACTTGTTGGATTTTAACCTGGTGGATTGTGTTTTGGGGCTGGCTTTGGATCTCCTTACCCACTAGACCACCAGTGGCACCCTGCAAACAAAAAAGACCTTTATTATTACATGAACCCAAGCAATGTGAAGCACAGGTCTTTGGTTCCTAATTTGTAGAGAGGATGGGAAACCCATTATGAATGTCACTTGAGATCAGCAGTGCCATGAAGAAGGCAAACAACAGTAACAGTCTTCTTAGC